GTCATGCATCAAAGGGTTAACTAAGATAGATAAATGTAAAAGTCATGCATAAAGGCTATAATTCTAAAATGCTTTTATCACTTTCTACGCCATCTATTGGGGGAAACTTTGGAAAAGTTTGGCGGGCCGAATTAAGAAGCTGAATGGGCCGCATCTGGACCCCGGGCCTTAGTTTCCCCATGCCTGCTCTATCCTGATGAATTAGATTTAGATCTGCACTAACAAAACATCTTTTGATTTTTTTTGGACTTATTTACATTACGAACACTTCAGTGAACACTATTATGTGCATCTAAGATGATGATGTGTTAATAATCTGCCTTATCAGGTGAAATTTTGGTTGTAAAAATTGATATATGGAAGACACCGAGTCACGGGGTTTAAAAGGACTTTGGTCAGTTTTAAACTGCTGGGTCTGGTGACAGAGTCACTTAAAAAGGTAGGTTGGACTCACAGAGACAGATATACACAGGTGACTGCATCTCACACTCAGGTAAGAAATTAAAATTCCCATTCCTTATTTCCAGGAGAAAAGCATCAACATTTATGCAATCACGTACTCTGGGTTATACAAACTAAAGTTAGGGATTTTTTGGTTTTATCCTTAAAAGCATACAAATATTACATACTGTATGTATAAAATGCCTGCTGTAACACATGCAATGTTGATTTTGTATAATTCAGTGTTATTTGTAACGTTAACATTATAAACGTGTATTTATTTAAAACACTAACACGCAAACACAAAGAGGTGTATCTGTGTTTTTGCTGTCCGCGCGTAAATATTAACAGAGGCACATGATGAGCAGTGTGACCAATCTGTTTTATGAGCAAATGATGTTAAGTCTCATGATTTGTCCTCAAGTTTTGCAGAATGAGGTCACATGATGTAATATGTTGGGGTTTTTTTTTTTTTTTATTACTATCCAGGTAAAAACAATGATGTAATATGTTGGGGTTTTTTTTTTATATTACTATCCAGGTAAAAACATATTAACAGTTTAGCCCCGCCGTTGTTTCAGCTGCTGTTGGAAGGATTATGGAGACATTTGGGCTGAGAAGAACACAGTCCCTGAGTGGTTTGGCAGTTACCAAGGAAAGATCAGTGCTCATGACAAACTATTCCTCCTGGAACAGGAAGACTGTGTCCGAGCTTGTGCAACAGTAAGTGTCGCACATGTATGATTTTCAATGAGATGCTAACTTGATTGGGTTTTTGCTTGGTAAGAAAGACAGTTTTTTTTTTTTTTTTTTTACATGTACCGTAATTTCCGGACAATTGAGCACACTTGAATATAAGTCGCACCCTACTTAATTTAAAAAGAAAAAAAAATATTGTACATATATAGTAGTATACTATTTATAAGCCACAGGTGTCCACGTTGTAACATGGGATATATACAAAGAGGATTTTTTTTTTTCATTTTTAATTAAATAAATGCTTTTATCCGAACAGTGCCTGTAACACTGCTGGTTACACGTTAGCTATTTCCTGCTTCGGCGCCCCGACCATAGTTGGACTGCACAGGGACGAAGCTAACATTAGCTCCGGGGCTAACTCCCGTCACTTTGTGCTTGTCCGCAGCAGAGGTAAACAGAAACAGGGAAGTTTCTGGAAGTCTTTATTATCAGCCACACCGACCACAACAGAACATAAACGGAGTTTTAACAGCTCCAACTCACGCTTCAACATGACAGGGCTCAAACTGCTTTCAACTTTCGCTACCGTTCTTTCTCGCACGCGCCCCACGCACATATACGCACACAGCCATTCACAGACAGACATACGCTACTAGCATAACACACAGTCGCCTACCAGAAAAGTCACTAGCGGTACGAACTTCGCAGGGTTCAAAGCGTGTGGAAAAAAAGTAGCGGGTTACAGTCCAGGAATTACGGTATTAACTTTCTTCCGTTGTTTTTAAAACTACTAATTACTAGACTGCCATATAATTAACACTATTTTCTTGCACTTTACATTACATTACACCTGTTCCTGTTAATCATTTGTCAGCACTTTTAACTTTAAATCTTTGTTTCACCAGTTATCAAAGTTGTCTTGACTTAACAACCGTGGGAACGACTGAGCAAAACCATAAGGTAATTTCGTCCTAAACAAAATTAAAAAAAAAAATTGCAAATAAACTAATAAAAACGGTGTTAAAAATTCCACTCAAACCCATTTGCTGCTAATGTTCATCAGGGGTCAGAAAATGGTGTGGCTGGTCAATGGAGGTGGGGTCAACAGCAAAGCGTCAACATGTCCAGAAGTCGCTCCATGGACACCATTCCTCAGAAAGAGTTAGGAGGAACCAAAGCTCTCTGTGCTCTGTTTGAGGCCAAGGCTAACAACGTTCCCCAGCAAAAACTTCACAGCATCTCTCTGCTAGACCTGAGGTCTGCTGGTGCCGCTAAAACAAAGCGAGACTGCCCCCTACTGGACACAAGAACGTACAACAGTCCACTAAGGAATATCACAACTCAGGTGAGCACCATTATTATTATTATTATTATTATTATTATTATTATTATTATTATTATTATTATTATTATTATTATTATTATTATTATTATTATTATTATTATTATTATTATTATTATTATTATTATTATTATTACTATTTTACATAGTATTTTACAAGTGAAAAAACGCATAACTTAGCCAATAAATGGAAATACACAGCAAAAATAGTCCAGCCACAAAAATATATATACCAAACCTAAACCTTTGCGTAGCTTATGACAAAAAAAAACCCATCTTCTTTATTTTCAGTCACATCAAACGTTATTGAATTTCTTTTTATAATTCCACTAATAATGCTACTCTGACCAACTGGTAATGTTCAGGTATGAATGGAGACACATTTAACAGTAGCCTCACACGTAAACTACTATATAACAGCGGTCCCCAACAATTTTGGTACTAAGGAACGGTCGGCTACAATAGGAAACAATAGACTGTTTATCGTTAAATGAAACAAGTCAATGGATACAACTGGAATTTTTTAAAATAAAGTAAATTAGTAAAACTAACGTACATTTTTTGTCTCCCACTGTGACCCGGTACAAAATGACAAACAGACCGCCATGAGTCCCCCGCAAGGGGGTTGGGGACCCCTGGTATATAACATCATTGTTGCGCAAATTTCTAAATTTAAAATTTCCTAACACTCACTATATAGGCTAGGGCTGGGCAATATGGTAAAATAAAACCAAACATTTTCATATTTTCCTATTAATTATATTTCAATTTATATTTCATATTTCCTATTAATTATTTATTTTTATTTTTTTGCAAAACTGTGTGTCTTGGTTGGTCACATTGCAAAAGTAGATTTCCCATGATTCCTACGTTTTACTCTTGTGAGGTTCCCGCCGTGCTAACGGATCAGAATTTGAGCAACCTAGGGTAAAGAACGAACCATCAAGTGCACTCGGGGGTTCAATCCTGTCAGGGATAGCGAGATCTATTAGGCCATGGGTGTCAAACTCAGGTCCGTGGGCCATATCTGGCCCATGCTGTAATTATATTTGGCACACAAGAATTGTTTCAAATGTAGTTTCTCATGTGTTCATAATATTAAGCTATGGTCGTACCAGACTCGATATTTATATAATCGCATAATCGGCGGTTCCAGTTCCTTCACCTGGCTCTGATTTTATAGTCAATGCCAAAATCCGATATTTCTCTGGATGTCTGAGTTAACGCTAACAAGCCCTGAAGGACATCCAGCCCAAGATTAGCTTGGTCAAAGACCTACCGGAGTTCCTGTTAGGATTCCTGAAAAGAAGAGCAGATGGTAGACCATGCATTCCAGCTATCCCCCACAATGCTTTGTTGTGGGGTTGGAAAACCAAATAAGGTGGTGTAGTTGGGGAGAAAGGAATTCAGCTGTTCGGGTCTCCTGCTCAGTAGCCCCCTCTTTGGGTTCCATATTGCTAAAACTGTAGCTTAGTTAGCTTGAGAGTGTCGTTTTCAGTCACGCTGAGCTCCTACTTTTGACCGTATTTAATTTTTTTTTTTTACTTTTAGACAAACATGGATTGTATCTCCTGTGTATGTGTTGCACCCTGTGAGCAACAAATGGGGATCTGATTGGCTGATCACCCACGCAGAAAAGGTGTAGGTTCCTCCTATTCTTCCTATAGACGAATAGGAGAAACCTATACATTTTCTTCAATTTTGTCGTACCCCTGTGTTACAATGACATTAAAGCCGATTCTATTCTATTCATATCACAATATCAGCACTGTTTAGACTTTCCGTGCTAAATAGTTTTGATGTCGTCGTATTCTTTGACGAACGCGGAGATATACGTCATCCTCATTTAGTCCTACATAACCTACCGAACGTTTTCATTTCGTCTTAAAAACAAAACAAAACAATAATAATAATAATAAATTGCAGCAAAGACATTAGCAAAAAACACCAAAACAAACGCTATTTAGTTTGCGAAAAAAGGCGTCTATGAAGTTAGCCAAAAAACAACCAAGTTAGCAAGTTAGCGTCTATGAAGTTAGCAAAAAACAACCAAGTTAGCAAAAAAACACCAACAATGACGTGAGCTTAGGGTTATCCGACAACAGCAGCAGAATTTATGACATGCTTCATATGAAAAAGAATCCAAAAAATTGTGTGTTCTGCGCTGTATTGTAATGCTATATGAACAAACGTCCATTTGATATCCAAACTTTACAAATAAAAAAATGTATTTAATCTCCTTTACAGAACTAAAGTCAAATATTTAAACACATATTTAACAGAATCAATGCTATTTGTCACTGCCAGGGCTTTTAAAAATTTTATATATATATATCCCAAGTGCATTGTTGTTTGATTGTGTTTTTTGTTCATACTTTTTTGGGGGGGAATGCATTTTCTATCTATGTTACAACATTCTTTTATCCTATCCTTACCCTAACACGCATACTAGAGGTCGCACCCATCCAGTCTCTTTTGTCAGTGACAATGTAGGTATAGGAATGGAAGGTGACGCAGCGGCTAACTGAGTCAGTCGACGGCAGTGGCAGCCAGTCCATGCGAGCTGATCTGCCTAAAATAGCCAAAGACCTACAACGTGAGTCAGTGGGCTCTGATAAAAATCAGCTGTCGCTAGGGCCACAGGGCCAGAGATCAGTTCAGTCCCGGTGAAGAGGGACAAAGAGGAAACACAGAGGAAACGCGGGGACAAGACAGAGCCATCACACACAGTAAGCACTTACCAGCCATGTATAATGACGTGTTATTGTCGGCTAAGTTGAAATGAACTTTTTTTTTTTCAATTGTACTATTTTTTATTTTATTTTAACAAAATAGGTATAAATGTTAAACATAATGATAAATCCGTTTTGTTTGTCTAAATCGAATATATATATATAAGAAAAAAGTCCCATATTTCTTTATTTAACTAACCCACAAAACAACAAATATATATACACACACACACGCGTGTATGTATATATATATAAAAGTATGACAGCTTGTTTGTTACAGTCTCCGTCAACACTCGACAACAGCTGATGGCGGTGATGAACAAATAGCAATGGCATGTCACAATCATTTGTACAGCTGCCAGCAGCCCCAAAAGAGGCCGTCGCATAACTGTCCAGTCTGTCTGACTGTCTCCTTCCAACTCCTACAGTTGGGTAATAGATAATAATAGATTAAAAAAATACAGCTCTTTGGCGGTTAATTCTCATTCTCGATGTTCATTTTTGAAAAAAAAAAAAATGCTTTAAGTTCCAGCTGGGCAACAAATGCTTGCTGCTGCGTCCTATTGTGCCGAGTGTGAAAAAGAGTGGTGTGTTTTTTTGTTTGTTTGTTTGCAGTCAGTAGCCCGCGTTACGTACTTGATCGACACTATCGCGAATGTTGAATCTGTTATGCAAAAGAATCATTCCTATAACATGTTTAGTTTACTAGAAAAGCCTAGCCACGTTCGTTATATAGCCATATATTTGACATACGGATAAAGTAATAAAGCTATACTGTACCGTTGTACTGCATTAGGCTAACAATGGAAGTTATTGGTAAAGTAGACAACAGTTATCAAAGAATATAAAGGTGCAGTAACTACTGCTTTACGATATATCAACCAAAGTATATTTAAAGTCAGATATAGAAAAAAGTTAGCCGTAAGTAGGCTAAGTTTGCAAAACATTGAATAGATACAATTAGCATAAAGATAATTAAGAGTTCACCTTTGCAAAAATCGAAATATTTTAATTATAATTTTTATATAATTCATTTATATTTATATTATTTATATATATAATGTAAATAAAAACATGTTTTTTTCATATACAAATAATGTAAATATAGGTCGATCCCCCCCCCCAATCCCATAAAAAAGTTGAATTAAAAATTAAAAGCCCAGGAAGTTACTAAAACATAAATATTAACCTAGAAATGCCTAAACAAATAACCTTAAATCTTACTAAAATATAGCAAGAATAACGGCTTAAAGTTATTCAGAAATGGGGCTAATTCTCAGGATAATTGGCCTAAAAAAAAAAATAATCCAAATCCTTTGAAATAATCTTTACAGGGAGATCCATGTGTAAACAATCCTAACCTCATTGTAACCAAGAGCCCGGGGGGTTAATCCCCAAATCAGTGATGTCAGATCAGCAACATTCCTGTGTCTGGGTTGGTGTTATGCTCAAACATGCGGCATGTTGTGGCAGCAGGGCAACTATTTATGTTGATAACTGTCCTGATAAAACTAACCAGAAATAACAGCTACTACCTGAGGTTTTGATATCCCTATTAAAAAACATCATTAGATGCAAACACACATTTGTGGCAATCAGAATCGGAGTCCCACTTAGGCTAAACATAGACACTAGTGAAAGGATAAAACCATTGTATTTCAATCATTACGTGAACCAAAGGTTCCCAAATTGGGTGGCGTGCCCCCTACAGGGGGCGCATGGGTGAGGGGGCACAAATGGAATGAATGAAACGTAAAAGTTTTTAACCCTTTGATGCATGACCCATGATATACTGAGTTAAAAAAATGTTACTAAGTGTTTTTATACATAAAAATAAGAACTGATTTGGTTCTGTTTTTATACACCAAATTTTCTTTTTGAATGTTACCACAATTACTCTGCAGTTGCAAAGGCTGACCACTGTATGGCAGTGTTGGTTGATTCTCAGGCATCCACTGTAGAGGCTTATATGCAACACCAAGGGTAAGTACAGTATTAGGGATGGCTCGATACAACTTTTTCATGTTCAATGCCAATACTTTTGATATCAAACAAATACCTTCTGTCCCTGTTTATGGCATGACAAACAAAGCTGAGTTTAGGGTTAACTTTAGGGTTAGATATCAGATCAAATGGGCTGTAGTTGTTTTTTTTGTTTTTTTTTTTTTTTTTTTTTTTTGGAGTGGGATGTGCAGCAGAGAATGTATGGGAACCACTAACGTGAAACCCTCTGTAATTTTTTTCATAGGTGACAAAGTCGGCGCATCAGTGACCGAAGAGGGCTATCGAAAAAGGCAACACGGGAAGAATTTTCGCTCCACTTCATCCACAGCGGGAGAGAGAGCCGCGCTCAATCTATACGTAGCAGCGATCCCCGACTCCACAGTCCGAGGCTCAGCACTAGCGGTGAGTTCCTGACATGCCTTACATTCCTCCTCAAATCGCAACACTGTCAAAACAGGGTTCTCTATATTGTGTACTGAAACACTTTTGGTTAAAAAAAAAAAAATACCACCACCAGAGAATTATATCAGAAATCTGATGGTTATTTTCTGTTGTTAACCAGGAATTTGTCAGCTATCCAGCAAAAAGATCGCAACCTTTTAAGGTACAGTATACCGGTGTGTTATGTACGAAAAAAGGCTTTTGCTGTGTGGCTTTACTCGTTTTAAGCCTTTGAAAGGTGTTCTCAGGACTCAAAGTAGCAGAAAAAGTTAAATCTTCAGTACATCTGACGTCAACAAGGGTGATCAACCTGGGATCGTGGCACCAGGTTTGGCTGTAAATTCCTGACAGATTCATTAAGGCAATCAAAGAATTTAAGATTTTCTTAAATGTAAAAACTTGGCAAAAAAAAAAATATCAATGCAAAAAAATATATATATTAGCAGTAAAATGTGCACAACAGAAAAGGTGCTAATTGTTAGCTTACTTCAAAGTAAGATAACATTTTGCTGCTGGAAATTTTTCTCTTACCGTCGTTATATTTCAAAAACTGGGGTAGTCAAATGACGTAGCTACTTGCACTGTATACAAACTTCATATCCAAAATCAGAATAGTCAGAATATAGGCTAATTACTGTAAGGCAGTACTTCTCAAATAGTGGGGTTGGCTCCCTCTGGGGGTTGTGGTCAGGTGCAGAAGGGTCGGGGGTGTGACATAAAATACTTTAAGAACCACTGCTGTAAGGGGACCTTCTCAAATAGTGGGGTGGGCCCCCTCTGGGGGTTGTGGTCAGGTGCAGGGGGGTGAGGGGGTGTGACATAAAATACTTAAGAACCACTGCTGTAAGGTGAAATCCTGATTCCTTTCAATGCAACTCACAGGCTACAAGCGACATCTGTTCGTGATGTGGGTGATTTTTCTTTTTTTTCTTCTTTTTTTTATTAAACACTTTTTTGTTATTGTAACATAATAGTGGTGGTGTGATGGTTTCTTGTGAAAAACACTCAAGTAACACACAGAAAGGTAAAGTACTAATTTTTTATTATTTTTTTTTTTGCTTAACATGCACGCCATTCTCTCTACAACTAACACGCATTTCCTAATAAACGCCATTTTGAAAATCGGAATCCTGACAATACCCCGTGCTTCTTCTTTCAGTCATGGCAGATGAAGCGAGGAAAATCTCAAATTCACCTTCTCCCCTTGAAAACGTAGATGACCTCCCTCTCCCTCCGCCTCTTCCTATACCATCCAGACCCCTTGATCACGCGGGTCCCTTAGCATTAAGTAGCCTCCCTGTGCCGCCACCAAAAGAGACCTTCTCTACGTTCTACCAAAAACAGCAGCGGAACGAACTGAAGAGGATCATCAAACATGTTGACCCACATCTTCAGTTTAAACTCAGCGACGCCGAGGACGATGAGATAACGAAGGCTATCCAGTCCGAAAACTCCTCCGCCGCAGAAGCAGCTTATCAGGGCGATGTGCAGTCCATGAGGTGGATTTTTGAAAACTGGAACCTGGACAATATCGGAGAGCCTCGTGCCGCCGTGAAAACATTAGACGACGAGGAGTTGACAGGCGGCGATGTCAGAGGCACATCTCTCGTGTTTAAGCATTTGGACAGCAATCAACAAATCCTCGCGAAAAGACAGATTTCACATAGTGGCGACGTGAGAACGTCAACATGGCTGTTTGAGACCAGACCGCTGGATTCTTTAAGTAAATCGGAATCAGAAGAAGGTGAATTGGTCGTGGCTGTGCTGAGGGAACCTATCCAACCAGGAGATGTCACCGGGACGCGATTGCTTTTCGAGTCTAAACCACTCAGTGAATTAGGACGTCACGACTCCAACGAAGATAACATCCTTCTGAATCCTAAGTCCGAACGGGAGGAGTGTAAAGATGACGGGATCCTAGGTGAAGTAAAATCGGTCGGCAGAGAGAAGGCCAACGGCGGCAACGTCAACCATGTGCGAAGGCTATACGAAACACAGCCTTTGAATGGGATCAATAAAGAAAGTGATGGGAAGAGTCAAACTCTTGCTCTTGAGGAGGGGCCCAGTGGAGCGGTTGAACAGAAGAGATTGATGTTCGACACTCAGCCCTTTGACACAATACAGCATAACGTGGAACTGGAGAACTTTGAACCATCCGTGGCGGAATGCGCTTCAAATGTCTCTCAAGTCAAGGAACTCTTTGCGTTACAGTCTCTCAATGAAATAGGATCAGAGATAACGACATCTTCTGCTGACCAGATACAGCGTGAAATGAGTCTGACCGACCAGGAGACGGATGATAAAAACTCCCATAAAGCAACTGATGCTGAAAGGAGTAATGTTCACGACAAGAAGTCTATATTTGAGACCTTCTCGCTAGACAAAATCAACCAGGAACCCATTGAGCAGAGCTCGGTCGAGGCAGAAGAACCTGTAAGCAAGGTGGATGTGAAATCTAGTACCATGATGTTTGAATCGATGCCAATGTATGCCATCAGAGACAAAGAAGGAGAGTTTCATGAGGTGACCACACTGAAAAAGGAGGAGGTTACGAGCGGCGATGTGAGAAAAGCTCGGTGGATGTTTGAAACCAAACCTCTTGATGCAATCCGGGCAGAGAACGATGTTTATGTCATCAGAGCTGTCACTCAGGAAGAAAGACAGAAAGGTGATGTCAAGTCTGCCAGGTGGAAATTTGAAACTCAACCCTTGGACTCCATTACCAGCCACGAGGAGCCATTTGTCAAGGTCACGGAAGATCCAGGAAGCGGTAGCGGGCAGCTCGCCGATAGGCATACACTCGAATCGAAACAATCATCCAAGCAGTTTGTGAGAACGGCGAGTGTCACTGACATCCAAAGTGGTCGTGTAAGGACCTCCACCTGGCTCTTCGAGAATCAACCCATTGAAAGTCTGAAAGGCGAACCCGAGCAACAAGTTCCCTTGAAAGCCGTTCAAAGGCAGGACAGCCGGAGAGGAGATGTAAAGCGCTGCACTTGGCTCTTTGAATCTCAGCCACTGGAAAAGATTAAGGAGACGGGGGAGAGCTCGAGGTCAACCGTCGAGGGAAAGCTTCCTTGTTCTAATGTGAAGAGCACTACCTGGCTTTTTGAAACCACTCCATTGGACAAAATCAACGTTGGCAGTGCCACCGATTCTCTGTCATCTCTACACAAAATGTCCTACGTTCACTCAAATGGCATCCTAATAGAAGCCAGTGAGAATAAAAACCTGATAATGGTTAAATATCAAGTTGACAACGACGAAGACGTTCAAATTCAGAAGGAGGAGGTTATCGCAGGCGACATCAGAAACACAATGCTACAACTCTTACAAAGTACGACCCCCAATCCTCAAGTGATCCTGCTCAGAGAGGTAGAAGAGGGTAAATTCAGCAAGACTGTGGTACAATCTCCAGGATGTCAATTTGCCACCACTACGTCCGTGGGAAACGATCGAGTACAAAACATTATCCAGATGATTGACGAAATGCTTGTTCAGGAGAAGGCATTGAAGAAAGGAATCCTAATGCAAGTGACAGAAGACGGACAAGCAGAGATGTCGGTTTATTCTCTCATTGGCAATAATGGAACTGAGAGTCCCATCGTAGAGCGAGGGGATGTGAAGTCGGCAATTGGAAATCTTTTCAGTTCTGCCAACGCCCAGAGGGTGTCACCATCTTGCCGGGTGGATGAAACCGAAAAAGGAAATGTGAGCTTGTACAAGAACGTCATTGAGAAAGAAGATGAAGTCGGCCACAGTAGTAAAGAGCAGATTCCAGTAGTGAAAGGTGACGTAGAAGAAGCCAAGAGAAGCCTCTGCCAGCAGAAAGATCAAATCGAGAAAACCGTTTGCGATGTCTTACCAGGGGATGTCCAAAACACGAAGAAAATATTTTCATCAAGTTACTCTTTCAGTGTCGACAACTGTATCCCAAAGGAAGAAATCATTCCCGGCGATGTCTCATCCGCAAAGCAACAGCTCGCGGTGAGGCCAGCTGTCGAAGTTGAAAAAGAAGAAATAATCGCCGGGAACATTAAGGATGCAATGCAGTCCTTAGAACTCGCAAAGCAACAAAGCGTATGCATTGGGAGAGAGCCCATCAAACCCGGAACTATCTATGACATGGATCAGTCAGCCCAAGGCCCCGACGTTGAAGAAATACCCGTGCAAAAGGAGGTCATTATATCAGGAGACATTAAGGCGGCTAAAAGGTCTCTTGAAATGGCCAAGCAACAAAGCATGCACACGGATCGCAAAACGGTTGTTCCCGGGGATATTTACAACCTGTGTGCCTCGGCACAAGACAACAGCTCTTCAACGGGGTGTCCCTCTGCTTCCCGATGCCAGCAAGTCAAGGCTGTTCCAAAGGTCAGTAGTGCAGCGAAAAGTGACGAGTGATGTCTGCGGAGTGCAGTGACAGAGCAGAAGCTACCAGATAAAGAAGGCGTAGTGAGACGAAATGCTCATTTGACTCAAAATAGGGACTGAGGAGTGTTTCGTTTTTTTTTTTGTGGCATCTAACGTAAAACTGTTTCTTTTAATTGCAGTAACTTCTGAAGGACAACGCACCCGTTACAGCACAGTAAAATTACCCAGATCCGAAATATTATTTCCAAGACTCCATGGATAGAATAGCAAGAAGGCGCAGTGGCAGAAACTAAATGTTTCGACTAAATCCTCAAAGTGGAAAAATCAACAACTTTGAAGAAACCTTCAGGTCTCTTTTTCCTACTGAAGTTGACTGTCGCAAAAACTAAATGTTTCGACTAAATCCTCAAATCCAATCTAAATCCTCACTGAAGCTGACTGTCGCAACAACACCGGCGAAACTGAAACGTTTCCTTTTACACCAATCGAAACGATTTGGTGCTCTTAAAAGCTACGCCACAAGAGGAATTGGACAAAAAAAGTGCTAGTGAATATTTGAAAAGACTTACGTTGAAAGAGTCACGAAAAAGAAAACCTCGAAAAATAGGGTAGAAGGATCCTTGACAGAACTGTTTTGTTGTTCAAAGGCCAACCATCAAACACCAAAACCGATGCCGAACATTTCAAAGAAAATACGGACACCAAGAAGTCAACTTTGAAGATACAGAGTCCGGTCGACCGATGTCCAAAGTTAAGCACGATAAATCCAATCTGAAGCACCGGGACACCAAGAAGTCAACTTTGAAGATAAAGAGTCCGGTCGACGGATGTCCAAAGTTGAGCATGATAAATCCAAGCACCACAATTCTGAAGAGGAACTTGAAAAAAGACAGAAGATGAACAGTGGCAGAAGCTTTCTGTTCACATTGAGGACATTACGAAGGGAAATGCAAATGAAGCCGTCAAATTGGACATATAAGAAAGCAAGAGGAACCTCCTTCAAAATTAAAAAAGGGGGTGGAATGACAGCCAGTGTTGACATCAGGAGCGTCCCCGATTGGATGAATACACAACTATCGAAAAAAATCAAAGTAAACGACATGAAAAGTGAGCAGGAACAGTGATGGTGGACAATGATTTAGGCTGCTTGTAAGGACTTGGAAAATGACAAGTTTTGATATAACGAATCTGAAGGAGGAGACGTTGGACATATTGGACATATATGGCTAGACCTTGGAAAATTAAAGAGTTAAAAAGTTAAAAAGAACGTTTCGAGCTTCATATTATTAAGCCGTTTGACCAATCTGTAGTGGCGCTTTGGCCCAGAGGCAATGTCTCTGGCATTGGTGTGGAACCCCAGGGTTCGAATCCCGGTTAGGGAGGTTGGTACCTTCCAGTGGACTCACCACCTGCAGAAAGGTTTGGGTGGTGACTGCTGCCCCCGCGACCTGGTAACGATTAAGCGGATGAAAATGGATGGATGGATGGATAAATGGATGGATGGATGGATGGACCAATCTGTAAACAGCAGGAAAATACACATCGAGTCAGGTAGGGTTATATTAACCCTCTCTGAAGAGGCAAATCCAGGAGCATTTCCGCAAGAACATCCCCAGGCAAGAATCGAATGCCATTTATCAGACAATTATCAGCACAGACCTCGCCCTTATTCGTTTCCATTCCATCTGTCAATCAACTAAAGGCGTTACTGTCAACATTTAAAGCTAAAACCACATGGTCACTCCCAAAGATGCCACCCTACAAACAGCGCAAGGTCAGTGCTTCGGATGTAAAAAGAGTTCCAGAACAACCTGCCGTTGTCGGGACAAAGACAGCCGGGGAAACAAACAAACATACAAAGAGACTGATGGCTTTGACAACGTGCTTTTTTCCTCCACAACGGAAACATTCACCATCGAACAATACGACATGAGTTCGCCCGTTCAGTTTGAAAAATGTTGGGACCCCCAAGATTTTTTAAGATAGTACTGATCAACAACAAGCAGCAAGGAACTGTGTTTTGTAACATTAGGCCGACTAAAGGAAAAGCATTATTGTTTACTTTTTATTGACTTACTTTTTTTGTGAATAAAATTGGTACCTATTTGTGTGTGTATGTGAATATATACAGTATTTATTGAAAAAGATTTAAAAAAAATATATATACAGTATTTATTGAAAAAGATTAAAAAAAATGCATTTTTATGTCTAAAGTCATTGAAGTTTGCTACATGGCAGGTATTCAATATGTAACTCATTTCTAAAGTCATTGAAGTTTGCTACATGGCGGGTATAGTGAGTTACATATTGAAACAGAAAATTACATATATATATGCTCTTTACAAACACTTTTCACTGGAGTCTCTGCCGATACCAGTGCTTATTCGATGCCTACATTTTTTCCTCTCACGTTGTAATAAATATCTGTACTTTGTATGGATGTACGTTGCGTGATTGTTGTGACAAAATATTGTCCTTGTTGTAGCTGGTAAGAGGAGAAATATGCGATTCAAACAGAGTTGCCGTTTTATTCTGCAAGTGGTTTCCCCACGGTAGGCTTTTTTCGACAGCAGTTATCTGTCCAACACGTATATTTTTCTCTTACGATCCCCACTAAATTAGAAGAATTTCAAAGAACAAGATGGCAGGACTGGATCGAAAACACCCAATTTGATCAGAAATGTAAGAGTTTCTGAAGAAGTAAGCGTTGACTCGCCTTTTTTTACATGCACCTAGATATATCCATTTTTGTGCCCTCTGGAGCAAAAGAAGTGTTAGTAAAATATGTGTAAATCGCGTCCAGAAAAATAAATGTATTTTTATATTGTATTTTAGTTCCAGCTTCCGGCCAAGGAATTGTGTGCTGCCTGTTTGACACCTGTCTATCAAATGGAAAAGATGGTGGCCAATCAACTTATCCTGCACAACAAGTGTTTCTGCTGTAAACACTGTCGTAAAAAACTCAGGTGAGACAAGTTCGATTTTTAAACAAACTGAAATAATAAAAAAAATAAAAGGAATATTGTATTTTCCGGAATATAAGTCGCACCTTTTTTCCTCCATTTTGGCTGGGGTTTGTGACTCAGGTGCAACTTGTATGTTGAAACAAACAATTTCACATGTTTGTTACCGTCACACTGACACCCGCTAGAGGGCGCTGGTGCGACTTATACTCCGGAGCGACTTGAAATGGTGTGATAGAATCTCGATTAAGCAAACTTCAAATGTGCTTCGTTTTGATTTCAGCATTCACAACTTTTCTCTTCTTCGCGGAGAGATCTACTGTCCTGCTCACTACCAACAGCATTTTAAAAGAGGAAACTCTGCAGAAGGACTCAAACCCAAGCAATGCAAAGACCATTCGCTTCTGAAAACAAATGGCACAAATGAGCCGGATGTTGTGTCCATTCCTAAAACTGCAAAATCAAAGAACGCAATATTGGGCGGCGCTGTCGACGTGACGCGTAGAATTGCAACAACCTGGCCACCACCAGAGACGAAACGGACACCGGGTAACAATATGTCATGGAAGAGCTCGACGGAGACGCTAAAACGCGTGGTACCGGGCTACAGCAAAGCAGATCGGGAGAATTTGGTTCCTGCTGGGAATGTAAACCTTAAGAAACAACTTGAAATAACCAAACGACAACAAGCAGACAAGAAAGAAAAGACGGTAAAAGGCTGCACAAAAACAACATGGGTTAGCCCAGCTGCGATGTCTTATCCAAAGTCCACAGTTACAAGCCAAGAGACAGCTCAGGAAAAAGTCACACATGTCATTAACCCAAACCGCAATCTGAGAGCGGAGAAAACGGAAAAAACTAAAAGGGTGGTGCGGTTTTCTCCTGATGTCGACGTGGCTCGGTACGAACAGATTCAGCCTGATAAAATACCAGATGCCGAAAAGGAAATGCTCTTAGAGAAACCTAAGCATGTTCAAGTAAATAGATTCGACAATATGACAGATAAAATGAACAACCCAGCACCAGATTTAAGTAACAAAGACGAACCTTTGAAAACTTCTCGTAAGAGCC